ACGCCATCACCGACGACTACAAGGTCACCAGCCAGGTGCTGGGCCTGGGCATCAATGGGAAGGTGCTGCGGATCTTCGACAAGAGAACCCAGCAAAAATTCGCCCTGAAGGTAAAGTCTGGGCCGCCGTGGAACACGCTGGGATCCGGTGCAGCTTCCGGTCACCCCGCGAGTGGCCGGGACCCGAGGGGACTCACGGGGACTGCCATGTTGGGGTGTGAGTGGGATCCGGCCGGTGGCCACGCTTGGGTCCGCCCGGGACGGCCTCTACTCGCTTCACCCGGCGCCGAGGACACGGTGACCCCATCCTCCCTCCCTCCTTCCTTTCTGCGGGCACAAAAGGCCCTTTACTCATTGAGCTGGTTGGTGGGTCGGTTTGGAGAAGTTCGCTCTCGGAGCTTTACTTTAACCCTGCTCCTTATTTGGGAGCCGGAAAGTGACTTCGCTCTCGCTGGCCTCACGAGGTCGGCGCGCAGTGGTGGGGCGCGCCGGCGCGGCGCTGGAGACTGGGGGACCCCGCCTCCGTGCCCCGCGATTGTCTGGAACCGCCAGCGCCTGGCCTGCGCTGCCGGGCAGGCAGTCTGCGCCGCGCTGTTTCCATTGCTCCATGCACCGTAGGAAACCTTATCTGTAAGCCAGGCTCGGCCCAGGGCTGGTTCTGCAAAGCCTACTTTGGTCTTGGTGGCTGGCGACTCGAGGCAGGAAACCTTACTCTTGTGTTTGGGAAACGCACTCCTAATCTCTCTAGGTCGAGCTGTCTCCTTCTGTGTCGCTCTCTGTTTCTTTGGTATCGGAGAGTGGAGATTTCAAAAGGTCTGTCATTCAGGGTCACCACAAAGTTTTCTTCTCCCAAGCGTTTCAAGTTACACCATATCTCTAAAGGTCACTTGTCAGGTTTCTTTCCCTTGGGGTGTCTCAATGATTGGAGGAGCGGACTACTTCCTGTGTTATATTTTTCTCTTTCCTTTCAGCCCACACAGCTTGCTTTGTTTCCAGCTATTATATACTACACGAGTTATGGGTGAGACTGTTGTCTTGTACCGTCAACTGGACTGTAGCCCTGGTACTTTGTAGGGAGCAAGTAAGTCTAGTTTCTATGGTAATGTTCTTGCTATTTTCATCCTCAACATCAGATTTAAAAATAAACAAAGCTATAAGCTCTTGCTGCAGGACCTTGGTTGTAGCTTGGTGTTGAGTGTTGGGGAGGAACTCTCATCCCTGCCTGGAATACTACAGTATTTGTACTCTTCTTCACTTTTCTTTCTATCCATCTTAGTAGCTAAGTGAGGAAAAGACTTGATTGGGTTGATGTGGCTCTGACCTTGGGGACTGGAGGTAAGTGAACAGTTTGACCACAGTTAACTGTATTGTTGAGGACGTGACAGATGTTCTTTCCGGGAAAGACTTCTCCCTCCTCTGAGATGCCATCTGCCTTTACTGATCAGCAGGCTGGGGACACTGGCTGTTCATTCTCTTGGATAGTTGGAACACAATATAAAGACTTTTCAACAAAAACCCTTCTTCCTTCCTGTTCTCCTTAAACACACACACCATCCTGGGCTGTCAATTCAGATTTCTAGTATAATTAACACTAGAGGTGTGTGTGTGTGTGTGTGTGTGTGTGTGTGTGTGTGTGTGTTTCTCCTTTGAATAGTTTTGAAAGGAAAAACCCTAGCAGCATATTAAATAATCCTCATGCTTATCCTTTCTCTAGTCAGAAGTGGGTGAAGACGGAAGACAGAGTCTGTTTTGACAGGCAGCCTGCTCCTAGATCTTAGAAGCTGACTCAACTGTTAGGTTTGCAGATTTCTCATACATCTATGTGTTAAGATTTAATAACAGAGGAAGGAGGAGAGCCAAGCTGTTTGGAGAATGGCACAGAGCAGTCAGCAGCACTTTCCTACCCAAATATTGGCTAAGACATCATCACAGCCGTGGGGAATCTGGTTAAAAGGCATCCCGTTTCAGTGACACGCACCACTGAGATTTCTACATTTTATACTTTAAAAACTTTAGGCGCTGAATAGTGAAATGATTTCGAAATAAGGAGCCTTTTTATGCGACAGCAAGGGCAGAAGATATAGTAGAACAGGCTGCGGTGATGACCCTTTGGATGCTAAGAGAAGATGAGACCTGTGCTCTGTAGAGTGTACTGAGCCCATGCCGAGGGACTCAGCCTAGTGTGGCCCTGCAGCCTGGCTCTCGTGGGGTTTTGGAAGGCTGCTGTCTTGTAGCCCCAAGATAGGATGGGAAATGAAGGCTGTTCATAGTCTCCGCTCATTGTACTAGTAAGAAAAACCAGAGCTTTAAAAATGATCCAGAGATGGCTTAGCAGTTAGGAGCATTTACTGCTCATATAGAGAACTGTCTGTAACTCCAGTTCCAGGGATTTGGACACCCTCTTCTGTCTTCTGTGTTCATGTTTATATGCTTGCTGCACATACATACGTGCAGCCAAAACACCCATACACATAAAGTAAAAATAAATAAAGGGCCCACCTGGTCCAGCTGCTTGCTTTATCCTCGTTGGGAAGCTGATGTTTAGATGCCTTTGGTGGGTGCTGTCACCTGGCTTCATCATCCTTCTGAGTCATGCATACATTTCCAGTCAGTGAGAAGCCAGTGGAGAGGGCATTGCCATCAACACATTCATTTTGTAGATGAGAAAACCAAGGCCCAGAATGCAGGCATAACTTGCCTAAGGCAAGTGGTAACTCTTGCTGTTCACTTGACAGAGGCAGGGACTGAGCTCAGTTCTTCTGTTTGCCAGTCTTGGACCCTTCTCTACTTGTAACTGTAGTGGTGTTGACAGGCATGCAGCTGGTTGCTGTTTTGGAGTGCCTTGAGCCTCAAGAGTGGCTCTGACCTATTGGTCAGAGGACATTGGTGGGTGTATGTCACCTTCCAGCTGCAATTACTAAAGTTGGAGAGGCAGCGTCTAAACCATGCCAGCAGCTCCACAGGTTTTGGATCTGTAACAAGGCTGTTTCCCCCCTCCCCTCCTCCCAATTAGGGAGTTTGTGATAGAAATACTATTTATTATTCTTTGGAGAATCTGTTACTTCTTTGCTAGGGACACCTAGCCTCCGTCCATTTGTGTATGAGTTGGCTGTATTCCCCGTGGTCACTTGGCCGTGTTTGGCTTCACTGTATCATGGTGACGCTTAGGTATTAGCTGAACAAATTTAATTAAAGCCCGTACTATTGTCCCGCTCTGCTGTTCAATGCTGATTAGGTGAAGCGTGTTATTGCTTGACAAAGTAGGGAATGTTGTCGTAACTTATCTCTGTTTATCTTTCCATTGCATAGACTAGAGGAAGCAAGGGCCTGTAGATCCTTCCCTCTCTCCAGTGTGCCCCCCTCACGAGGTCAGGCAGGTGCCACCACCGGTGACGTAGCTGCTCTTGGTATCCCGATGAGGAGATTAGACCCTCTCACAGTTGGCCTGGACATGGTTGAAGGGCACCCTCGCCTGCCCTGCCCTGCCCCCCTGGACAGGCCATGTCCTCATTCTGTGTCCTCACTGGGGAGATGACTGATAGCGTGCCTGGCAGGGGGGCAGTATCTCGGTTTGACGTTTGCTGGATGGCCACATGAGGTGAGGAAAGTCTCGTGATCATGCCACCCAGTTTGGTTCCAGGTCGTTGGCAGTTTGTGGAGCAGTCACCATACGTTTATTAGGACAGAGGGGAGTGGCATTAGTGCCCTGTAAAATGTGGGGGGTCAGGAAACCTATTTGGAGAAGGCAGGATTGACCCGTGTCGTCTAGGGCAGCATTGTCAGTGTGGCAGTCACTGTGTGTGTGTGTGTGTGTGTGTGTGTGTGTGTGTGTGTGTGTGTGGTTATTAGTAGTAAAGGGAGCCGACACGAAGGCATCCAGCCAAGTGACCGGTGCAGCCGGCAGCCGCAGTGTGCATGCCGAAAGGATCCATTTCTGCCATCCTTGCGGAGAAGTCTGCCGGACTCTCCTGGCCTGGGGGCTGAATTGTGTGACCAGGAATAGAGGGTTCTGAAAGAGGGACGTCTGTGAGGATTGATGATGCCAAGGGAAGCCTTGGCTGGTGGCCGTGGGGACTCGCTGGGCCTCGGAGGAATGAGTGGGTCCGCCAGAAGTCATGACGCTGGCTGCAGCTAGAGCCGAGGGGACGAACAGGAGACCAAGTAGGTCAGGAGCGGTGGGGCCGGAAGATCAGGACTGAACTTACCCACCTTTGGGTCAAATCAGCCTTTTTTTTTTTTTTTTTTTTTTGAGTCGGGAGGACTTGTGGATGTTCTAAAGAAAGGCTAGGCCTCATTGAAGTTGGGGTTCGTGGACTTTTGGGCGGAAGGTTTGAATTTCTGCCTTCCGAGAACATTTCCCACTTTTGGAAGTAGACTCCAGGCACGTCATCCTGGTATGGTCATGACCTCTCTCTCTCTACTGCAGCAGGACTCTGTGCCTCT